ACCTGACCCCCAGGGTCATCATCTGAGGAAAACTTTTCTGGAATCACAGCTGTTGTTTTCAAAGCAGCATGTGTATGGAAATATATATACATTTTTTTTATGGATACACTTATTTGAGTAAATGCTTTTTTTTTTTTTTTCTTAATTAAATGGCATTAATTATATTTAACGGTTGAATGTTCAAGAAATTTCCTAGAAAATATGTGTCCTCCAACAGGAATCGAACACGTATCCTATACAGAACCATCATTTAGCCTAACATGCTATGACTGTTCAGCCACAGAGGACTTCTGGTTTAGCAAAGCTCAAATTAGTGCTTTTAAACCCACACCTCTGCTGATCTTAATCTATCATATCTGCTCTGAAATTGTAGCCTAACATAAACAGTGACAACATATTATATGAAATGGATTAAATCCGACAAATATTTTAATATATTCAGAGGACCATTTACTCAAATAAGAGTATGCATGAAAAAAAAATATTTGTTAGATTTAATCTCTTTCTTTATATATATATATATATATATATATATATATATGAGAAAGCATAAAATTAACCACAAGAGTAAATTTTTAGAGAAAATATGAGCAAGATGGAACCAGATATATACAGAAAGGGGTAGTGAAAGTTCTTTTATATGACATGTCCCTTAAGGACCTTGGCGATCATGGCTCTCCTGTACATTGTAGCTCTTAATAGCTTTTTTCTTTTTGTCATCTCTCCCAAATCTTGCTCGGCCAATCAATTTACTCAAGCTCACCAAGTGGGTTGTGTGTTGTTTTCCTCTCTCTCACTTACCTTCAATTTGTTCTATGAGTATCAAATTTTCCAAGCTCTCTTTCCTCATTATGTGCTCCAGAAATTTCAGCTGTCTCTGCCTGATATTAAGTATGTGTCCTTTTTATTGCCATTGTCTCCAGAACTTCATTGTTGCTCATATGTTTGGTTCATGGTATTATCAACATCCTTCTGTAGGACAACATTTCTCTTGCTTCAAGTCTCTTCTTCATCTGTGAGGAGATTGTCCAGCATTCACTCCTATATAGAAGGACTAATACTACATAACACTTCAGTATTTTTTGTTTCTAATAATATTTTTCTGTTTCTTGATCCGTCCTGGGTATGACGATAAACTACATTCGCATCCTGGGTAAGACGATAAACTATGTCCAGCAGCAAGGCCTCTGCTCATGAGGTTTTGAGGAGCGTGGAACCACCTCTTAATTGCTAGTGTTCCCAGGTCCACCCTGACCTGGGGTGGTAGCACCTGTTAGAGTCACAGCTTTGGGCAAATAGTTAACACCCAGACTTGTGTAAAAATAGTTTTTAATACCAGAAATACTTTGTAATAAAAAAATATTATTACCAGCAATAATTTTTGAAGGAAAAATTATTATCAGCAATACTTTAAAAAAAATACCAGCAATACAAATAGCTATATATTCTTTGGAAAAAATCTGACGAGCTATAGATTTTCTCAAGGAAAAATATTCCCAGAAATAGATTTTAGAAGAAAAACATTACCAGCAATAAAAATTTTGTCGGCATTAAATAATCCATTAAGGTTGATATGCCGTAAACCAAACCAAACCATTTCTTGATACTTTAAGTTTTTGAAAGCTATTTTTGGCTATCCCAATGTGCCTTCAGATTTTGGTGTTGTGCTTTGCATCCTATGTTAATATGCTTCCCAGATATCTAAAGTGTTATACTCTTTTAATTTTGGTATCTCCAATTTAGAATTTTCATGTTAGGCTGTTTCATTTTTGCTAACAACCATGCATTCATTCTTCTTGCAAAAGAATTAGATACAAAGTCAGTGAAATATCCATTGAATAAAGTCAAGCTTCCACAAAATTGATTTTTTTTCATACATGATCAGTCACAGAATCTATTCAAATGAACACAAAAAAAACAAGACTTACTATTTTGAAAATCCTCATGGGTTACATTGGCTAGTCTCACAGGCTGTATGTAACCACAGGCCATGTTTTGTGCAGGTGTAGTTTAGGCAATAGTTTACCAATATTAATGAAGATATCAGGAAAATGGTTCAAAATATAAAAAAAGTAAACAAAAAAAATACATAACAAAGAATTATCATTAGTCTTTAGCTAAATTTGGATATGTTAATATGTTACTGAGGAAAGGTAGTGTTGTTTCTTTTATTGTTTTTTTTTTTTACAATAATGTTCATCTTGTACAAGACCCAAGAGCCTCCCAAGGAGTAAGAGTAAGTTTATAAGGATATGTGGAGAAGGTAACAGTTAACCCTAGACCTGAACAGGTTAAGATTGTAATGCTCAAGGAAGCATCCTCTTGGGAGTCAGTTACACAAAGCAGCAGTTCATGTGAGAAGAAGCTTTTTGACTGAAGCTTATATCTCACCAATAAGATATGAAGAGAATGAGGTTTGCTAGAATGTGCGTGGCACAACAGATTTTAGCTGTGAAAGTTAGAACCAATGGAACTAAGGAATGTGGTTTGTCTGAACACCATGGAAATAGTAACAGAGTAGCAACAAGAGGCTTGCAAAATTTTGTCTATGGGAATGGGGTTGTAGGGTAGAAAATAATTCATCACCCACAAGGATAGGGACATGCTTGTTGTTCTGTATTTGATTGTCTGCCTTATCTGTAGAATAAAGTCTTCATGATTTACAGTATCATCTTTTTGGGAAGATACGTTACCTTTCATCTATAAAACAAAATTCTAGCTTTTAAGACTTAATTCCAAGATGTCCGAATGGTATTACTAACATTGCCATGACTAATCATTTTGTTTTTTTGTTTTTTTCTACTTGATGTCTTTTGGGTTCTGTGGATGCAAATATTCTAACAAATCTGTAGCCTTTGAAATTTGGTCAGTTTTCAGTCTTCTTCTTCCCCCCCAACTTTCAGAATTCCTTTACATATTTTGGTTTCTCTCTTAAGAACCCCGGTTTCCTCATAATCATCTATTTGTACATTCGTAATCTGTTCCTCCTCAAACAACTGAAGCAGAAGAAAAGATGACAGATGTAAAAGATTAACAAGATCCCCAAAAAGTTGGGGGGAGGAGGAGATTCTAACACCTTTAAAATGACTTCCCTTTTCTTTTGATGGAGGTTAAAGCTTTTGTAGTTTTCATTTTTTTTTTTTCCTTTTTTTGCCATCATGATCATCTATTTCCTTAATTCCAGGAAAAAATGGAAGGAACAGAATTGATCGCATTTTTCTAGCAATTCTTCCTTCAATTTTTTTCTCTTTTTTTTTTTTTTTTTTTTTTTGACACAAGATGTTTATGTACTAAGATCTCACCATTTAGATTTTTTTGTTTCAACCTTTAAAGGTATTTGAATTACTTACTCTTCAGTTTCATTACAATGAGATGTATGTCAGAAGTTATCAACAATAGTATAATTGAAAAAGAATTGGTAATGATCCACACTGTCACTTGCATATCTCATTGACTCTCCGTCTCCCTAAAATTTGTTATCCTGTACAAAACTAAGGAAAAGTTAGTAAAATATTAAAAAAAAAAACCCTTATCATTGGCCCTCATTAAAACCTACTTAAAGTACATATGGATATGCCTCACTGAATTCCAAAGGTCAAAATACTCCAAATGCTATTCTTTAGGGCATATGCGATCATGGCTCTCCACAATTTTCTCTCCTTTATAATTCTTAATAAATTTTGTCTTTTTGTTATCTCTCTGAAACCTTATTTCATCAAGCATTTACTCAAGCTCGCAAAGTAGGTTATGTGGTTTTCCTCTATCCCTTCAGACTGTCCTGTGAGTATCAGATTTTCCAAGCTCTCTTTCTTCATAATGTGCCCTAGAAATTTTGCCTATTTCTTCCTAATGTTTAAGTGTCCTTTTTGTCTCTATTTTCTCTAAGACTTTGTTCACATATTTGATCCATGGTATCCTCAGCATCCTTCTGTAGGGCCAGAGTTCTGTTGCTTCAAGTTTCTTCATCTTCACTGCTGCTGTTACTTTAAACTAAATCAATGGTTTTTGTGCTAAAAACAAAATATGTGTTATGGTCCGGTTCCTTGTACCACGGTGATACTCCAAGGTAGAACCAATAAAGGAGAACTCGAACACGGATATGGAATAACACAGATATATTACAAACAGGTATATATACAGAGAAGTAGAATGGGTTAGTACGAACAATCAGGTTTAGTAGTAATTGTCTGAACGCAACTCTGTTTCGGACTGCCTCTGACTCGACTGACTGACTCGCTCGCTCTGACTGACTGACAGATTTCAGACTGAACTCCCCGCTTCCTCTTGAGGCGCAGTATTTATTATGTATGGAATAGTCCATTATGTTATTATGGGTAAGGTCCCATAACAATATGTTTGCCTCAGATAAAAGTGATATTTGGTAAGAATTGTAGAGGTTCGGTTCCTTGAGAAGGAACAGTGTAACGTTATCAATTTTTGTGTCAAAAGTTTTCTGTTTAAGATTATTGAGATCTATGACTTCAAGTTCTAAAAATATTTTCTGACTTTAAAAGGTTGATAACACATAAAAAAGTAACCAATTCATCATGCTCCTGCATTTTTACGGCAATATCATATCAAAACACGGTTTCTCATATAAGTTAAGCAATGTTGAATCTGTTCAGTACCTAGATCGGTGACAGCTTAGGAATACTAGATGATGTAATGAATAACGGCTTGCAATTGGTAATTGGTGAGCTGAGTTCCAATTCCAGTTGTGTTCATTATATTCCCAGGCATGCAAATACCCTTGGGAATGGTATAAATCCACCATCATCCTAAGCTATGGTTCAGTTAGTAGAACTTTTATCAGTAAATCATTAACTCAAAAAAAAAAAATTTTGCAGAACTTTCTAGCTTTAGAATAACCTTATTAAAAGGTTGATAAACCATAAAAAATGAATCAATCATGCTCATGTAAATAAAAAGAACAACAAAGACTGATGTTAATGATTTGAATTAAAAGACTATATTTTTCTCTTCTATTTTCTTCATTCCAGTTGGATTTGTATTCCTAACTGACAAGGGTGTGTCTCGCAGCTGGAATGTATTCATGTGGGTATCCTTATTTATTGGCAATGGCCTTCTCATGTGCCTCTACAGCTTGGAATGGTACGCCCGACAAAATTGTCCAGTCACAACGGTAAGTGTTAAAAGCTTGAAATACATTTCTTTTGACAAGCTCAAGAAAGAAAAAAAAAATTTTAAAAATGACATATTTTTCTCTTTTCTTCTGTTTGCATCTGTAATGAGCTGTAAAGACGAAATATGTTTGAGAGAAGACAAGACATTCCTGAAGGTGTTCCGTTCTGTTAACTGATATGGTTACTCAGTCAGGGTAACTGCACCATCAGCAGAATTTCTGAAGGGAGTGTTTCCTTTTTTTATTTTATTTATTTATTTTTTTATTTTTTTTTTTCTCCAAATTTTCTCACACTTTGTTTAGCAGTTTTCTCAAGATTTTATCCAATGTATGCTCTAAAGTTAAGCTTCATGACCATTGTTGGGAATAATGGCATCTCAAATTTCCAGGAACTGGGTCTATAAAGGCAGGTAATCTTCAGGAACCTATTCTGCTTATTTTCTTTCCACTGAGAATGGAAACAAATCAGTATCAAAAGGAATTAAACCATTTTGATAATAGAAAACATTTATTTATTAAGATTGAAATTCTGTTCTCATTATATTTCTATTCAGAAGTATGATGCTTTTTGACTCTTATGTCATCAGTTGTATTATGGTTTCTTAGCCAAATTCAAAATGAATCACTGCAGTCCCAAAGATCCAATGGAAGACCTATCAAATTTATGATGAGTAGATTTACCATATTTCTAACTTCAAGACAATTTCTTTTGTCAGAATAAAATGGTATTAATTCTATTTTTAGCTTTTTGGATAGTTTTGGGTACAATATGTTTATGGTAATTTCTCATTAAATTTTCAATGTAATCACGGAAATCATTATTGTTGTGGTAGGAAGGTGTGTATAACTAGGCAAACATAGTGTAACTAACATTTTACCTTGACCATCGGCTATTAATATATAAGATTATTTTCAGAAAATCCAACAATCAATTCATTAAGCTTTTATAATTCTAAGAATGGGTTTGTGCAAACTGGTAGGATGCCACCACTGATTGTTGGTCTTAAAATAATTGATGCACCTGTTGAAAGCACTAGGCGGAAATACTGCACCAACTTATGACAAGTTTTATATAAATGTGGCCTGTAAATCTCCCAGCCTCCCAAAAAAGATTAACATGTTTATTGCTACTTATTTGACATTTTGGTAAATAAAATTAAGATCTGATAACCTGTGATATTTATAGCTTTATATAATACCATCTATATTTCGGTTAGTTACCAATAGAAGTTGCTATAAAAGATTACGTTTAAATTTATTTTTGTAAGAATGATGACCAAATTTATAGTATTTTAAATTGATCAACAACTGGCTAACAGGAAAAGAGAAAAACAGATAAACATATTTCTATTTGAAAATATATTCATTTTAAATACAATAATGATTCATAAAAATGACTTCAAAGGGCTGCACATTTGAGGTTATACTCTTTTCCTGTTACCCAGGAGTTGTTGCTAGACAAAAAGGGAAATTAGTCCTAGCAACACAAATGTCTATTTCAATTTCATTCAAATTATGTGTGGATATTTTAATTCAATGACTGATCTAAAAAAAATATTTCTGCAAAATTTTTTCTAAAATGCTAAAAATATAAATCTATTACAAAATAATTTTTTAAAATTTTACTAAAATCTTCTAATTCTGATTTTTTTTCTTAGAGTTTAAGAAATTAATTTCTTCTATTTCTTGAGAGTTTTAGAAATTGTATTTATTTATTACTTTTTTTTGTCTCCAATTTTGATTTTAATGCCCAGTCAAATGTGAGAACGTTAATGGTAATATTAACTGTTTCCTTCCAAGGAAACATCTGGTATTCATTACCAAGCAGCCAGCACTACTATTGGTTGAAATTTATAAAATTCTTTATTTAGAACCATTGTTCAGATAAACAGGTTTCTCAAGTTCAGTAGCTATAAATTGCTCTTTCCAGTATTGATATGCGTTTCCTTCCTAACCTTTTACTTGAAGTAGTGTGGAAGAGAATGTATTATTCCAAAGTCTTATTCCAAATTGTTAAACTGTGTGTATGTGTATTAAATGGCAAAAGCATGTTTATGTCACTCATTGACAGTGCAGACATATATGCATATACATTCGACACATGCATGCAAAGTCATACTTAGAATGTAACTATTCTCCATCTGAGAGACCCCCTTGCTGCCTTCCATTAGCATAGTTGATGCTAACCTCCAGAAAATTGACTTGTTTTGCCTTCTTGGGCTCACATTCTCTGCTGATATGAAGTGGAAAGACTATATTGAATCCATTGCTAGGTTAGCTGGTAAGAAAGTCTGTTTACTATGTCGAGTGAGACAATTTTTCTCTCCAGAATTTATCTTACATATCTATAAGTCTACCATTCATCCATGCTTAGGATATTGCTCCCACATATGATCTAGTGCCCCTGCTATTTACCTTGAGCTCCTTGATAACATCCGAAGAAGAATCAGCAATATTATTGGTCCTGGTCTGTTGTCTCGGCTCCAGTCACTTTCCCACCACCATAAGGTTGTCTCTCTATGTCTTTTCTATAAATACTTTCATGGAAATTGTTTGGATAAGTTCATCACTATGGTACCAAGACTTTTTGAATTTAAGCAAAGCACTAGACTGGCATCAAGATATCATCAATTTACAGTTGAAATGGCTAGATGTAAGTCTGATGCTAACAGTTTCTTCTCTCGCACTTCTCACTTGTGGAACTCACTTCCAGCTCCATGCTTTCCAGCCTACTTTAATGCAATGTCAATTGTTATCTACTATCCTTCTGATTACTCTCTTCTCTTTCTGTTCATCATTAATGTTTCTGTTCCTAATTCTTCCACACCCTGTAACCCCTCGTGTTTTAGTGGCATTACTGCCTTGCTTGGGGTGATTCTGAATAAAAGAAAAAAGAAAAATATACAGATTGGTGAAAGAAAAGCTTTTCACTCAACATTTCTCATTAGTAGAGCCAGTTGGCTTAAATCAATATTACAATAAAATGCTATGAAAAAGCAAGAGGATTCCATGTTAACTTTGAAATAATATTTAATTACAAATGTGAGATAGTCGTAGTAGGAGGTAAGAAAATCCAAGAGAATTTTTTCTTAACAGAATCTATCTTGTATATTTGTAAGCATGTCATTCATTCATGTTTTGAATATTGCTGCCACATCTGGTCTGGTGCTCCTTCTATACATTTAGAGATTCTTGATAAAATCCAAAGAAGAATCTATTTTACATATTTATAAGTCTACCATTCGTCCGTGCTTAAATATTGCTGTATCGTATGCTCTGGTGCTATACATTTAGAGATTCTTGATAAAATCCAAAGAATCAGCTTCACTCACTTTCCCACTGCTGTACTGTAGCTTCCTTGTACCTTTTCTATAAATAATTTCATGGCAATTGTTCTGATGAACTATCGTCTTTTGTACGTAAACTTATTTATGAATTTAAGTGTAGTACTAGATTTGCAGCAAGGTCTCATCACTTAACAGTTGAAATGACAAGATGTAACTGTAAGTTTTATCCTAATATTTTTTTCTCTTGCACTTCACACTTGTGGAACTTTCTTCTGGTTTCTTGCTTCCCAGTCAACTTTGATCTTCCAAAATTAATAGCAATGTCAATCATTATCTTCTGTCTTCTTAATTTTTGTTCATTTGTTCTCTCTCCTTAATAGTGTTGTTGTTTTTTTTTTTTTTTTTTTTTTAGCCTCTCATTCTGTAACACTCAGTTACCCCTTGTGTCTTAGTGGCCTTATTGCCTTGCTTCAGGTGAAATGATTAAAAAAGAAAAGAAAAGTTGCCTATGTTGCCAAGTATGTTATCACACACTAGAGAAATACATAAGGAGAAATGCTAACAAAGGAATAAGAAAGCCTCTCATGTGTGCATGTTTCACCAGAGATGGCCATGTGGATCTCAAGTATCTCTCAAATGGTGAGAGATAAGGAACAGGGATGTCAGTCTTGTTTACCTTTTAGATGGTCGGGAAGGAATGTGGTTGGCATATTTTCCCTGTAATATAAAGACAGATAATTATTTTTGTAGCCTGACATTTTGGTAAATAAAATTTATTAACACATTCATTGCCACCTTGGATATTTGAGCCCTTACATAATATTATCTGTTTTTGTTTGATTTTTTTTTGTTTTTTTTAGAAATTGTTATGTTTGTACTATAGTTTGATAAATAAAATGTATTAACTTATAAATATATTGCTATAGTATGTCTTTGGTATTGACTTTATTTTTTACTTTTTTCCATTGCTGTGTGAGAACATTTTGTATTATGATGGTTTGTTATCAAGAAACAGTTCAAATTAGTGTTAAAATAACATAGAGAAGGTTTCGGTAGTTTTTTTCTTTTTTTGTTATTTAGAAATATAACTAAGAACATAGATCAAACTGTGGAAGGAACATCCACAACATGCGGCAGACATTTATTGTATAGCTGTATATGTGTGAACAATTAAGAAGTGCTTAGATACAAGGCAATGCTGAAAGGTTCTCAGCCCAACTAAGGGGGAATTTAAAAAAGAAAAGAAAAAAAGTCATTCAGGCTCTGGGTCAGATTTTGGGTAGTAGGTCAAACTGAGAAAAATAAAATTTGAAGAAATTTGCTTTTGACTTAGTAATATTTAATTATGTAATAAGAAGTAAACTTGTTAAAAATTTCAGGATTTATTCATATAAGCATGTGGCTTGATTTAATCTTGTCAGAAAAATATCTTCTAGCAGGATTCAAACCTGCAACCCCAATGGAGAACTGCCATTGGATCTGACTTGCCTAACTGCTCAGCCATGTAAGATTACAGTCAAACAAAGCTTGAATAGTGCCTTTTGAACACACACACGCACACACACTCTGCCAATTCTGGAAACATCCATATCCGCTCTCTAATGCAGCACTTCTCAACCAGTGTGCCCTGGGCACACTAATGGCCCTGAAAGGTAGCCAGATGCACCCCAAGTTAAAAGAAGAGTCATTTATGAATTAATTTTATATTTAAAAACCTCTTTATTTTTAAAAAGCTAGAGACACCAAAGTAATGTCTTAAAAATAAATTTTTATTTCAGGAGACATTTTTATTATTTTCCTATTTTCAAATTTCAGGACTTACTTTTCCTTATTAAAATTTAAAGTACATCCCAGAGCTTTAGTTATTAGTGCACCCTGAAGTGAAAAATGTTAAGAAACACTTCTCTAATGTTTCCTAGGATAAACAAAGATAATTTTCTTGAATATTCAGGCTAGTAGATGTTGTTGGATAAAAAACACTGTTTAATTAAAAAAAAAACAGAGCTTCTACTTGAATATGGGCATTCATCAAAAATAACATTTGAACAAAAATTAAAAATAACAATATATCAGATTTAATCCATTTCCTAAAAATAAATTGTCTTTGTTTATGTTAGGATATATGGCCAAGCAGTTAGATCCAATGAGTGTTCCTCATAGAGGATACAGGTTCGAATTCTGCCAGAAGACTCATATTTTTCTGACAAGATTTCTTGAATATTCAGGACAGCAGATGTAGTTGGATAAAAAATTCTGTTTAATTAAAAAAAACGGAGTTTCTACTCAAATATGAATATCCATCAAAAATAACGTTTAAACAAAATTAAAAATAACATATCTATATCTATGTGTGTATTTAGACAGTATATTTTCATTCAAACAGATTTGGTTAAATAATTTAGTCATGTCTATTTATTTTTGTTGTATTCCTTTCAAGTTCACGGATTCATTTTTTGCCTTAGAAAATTGATTATGAAGACACAAGTGAATTTTGAGTTTTTAAATCTAGAACATTGCATAACGCAGCAAAACAAACAGTTGAAATGTTTTGAATTTACAGAAATACATATACAGATTCACAGACAATTTAACTTCCTGAAGATGTTCTCAGATGAGATTGAAAGTACTTGGGAAAAAATAAAAACTATTTGAAAGAAACTTTTGGTATTTTTCTTAATCAATTTTCTAAGGCAACCAAGAAATTTAATCCGTGAGCTTGAAAGGATCACAACCAAAATAAATCAACATGATATATCTAAATTATTTAACCAAATCTCTCTCTCTCTCTATATATATATATATATATATATATATATAATCAAGATCAATTTTAGGGAGAAAAAAATTATAAAAAAAACTGGGGCAAGTTATTATGTGACATGTTTCATCCTTTAGGACTTCTTCAGACCAAAGTGATGTTTACATTGGTGTTACTGCACACATACACATGAAAAAAGAAACACTGAAAATTTTAAATTCAATTTTTGTTTTTTATATATATATATATATATATATATGTTTTGGGTATGTAGTCTATCTGTTTCTATTTAGTTTCTTTTTGCTTATGTTTTTATCAGTTTTGTTATTAACTATCACACAAGAAAGATGAAACATTGTAAGAACCTGGACTCAAATTTACTGCAGATGATCTAGCAATTAAAGCACTTTCTAAACATTTTCATCTTAGTGAATTGTTTTCTCTTTTAATTAGAGTAGCATTTTTAAGTTAATATTATGGTCTCTCATTACGGTGAACAACTAATGATTTTAGTGTGTTGTTTTTTTAATATATATACATACATATATATATATATATATATATATATATATATATATATATATATATATATATATATATATATATATATAACAATGAATCATTCATACAAAAAGTAAATTAGTAAAGTTAACGTGATAAAATGGTGAATTCGCTTTGCTAACTAAATTTTTAAAATGCATTAACTCACTAACCACTCAATAAATGTTATGATCCTTGTTTTTAAAAATTATAAACTGTATTAAGTCTTCTTTAAATATGCAAGTACTTTTGACAGGTTCTCCAGTCATCATCAGGCATAGAAACATATATATATATATATATATATATATATATATGAGAATTAATGAATAATGTTATGAGTAATAATAATTTTTATTTACAATTTTTGTGATTAATTTCAAATTAATCTTTAGTGACTAAAAATAATTAAGTAATTTTTTAATTGTAATTGAATATTTTTTGCACCATTATTTTATTTGTTTTATTCAGCGTTATATGTTTGAAAAATATTTAATTTATCTTAGTAATTGTTAATTTTATATAAAAATGCATCAGATATGTAAATTTAATGAAAATGTAATCATTAAAAATATTAAATATTTTGTCCAAATATTGTATGAGGACTGTGTTGAACAATGAGGTTTCCCTGACCAGATGGGTTATGGTTCCATCCATGTAAGTGCACTGGTTATAATGATGCAAATTTTGTTGAAAACAACCTTATTAAAAAAGAAAAAAAATCTTGTTAAAATAAATAAAAAGATCCTGTATTAATGGACTTTTTTTTTTCTTTTTTTTTTTTTAAATTTTATCATTTGTCAAACTGTATTTCTAACATTGTCTATTTTTTCTTTTTTTCAGAACAATTTCTTTGATTACCTTATTCCTCGATCCTGGACATGTGATTTTGCAGGAATAACTCTGAAGTAATTGACTATTGGTGTCAGGCCTCGGTGACTATTTCAACATAAACATGACTTAGTATGATAGCATCTGTCGTGTCATTAGTCCATGGCTGGATTTTGAGTTGTAAGTCTGCTGATAAAGAACAATGTACAGTATGAAAATTCCTTTTTTTTTCTTTAAAAAGAATTTTGTTAATTCAAAAACCTCTTAAAACTTAGCAGACATTCCCCCACCTTTTCTTTTCTTCTTAGCTGATTTTTTAAAAATAATAATTCCTTCCTATTTCTTCTGTAAATCAAACCGATCAATCAATAGATACCAGTCTCAAATTTCTGAGAATTCTTTACTTTCACAATACCACATAATATCCATGATAAGATATATATATATATATATATATATATATATATATATATATATATATATATATATATATATATATATACACACACACACACTGTGGGACAAAAGTATGAAGGCCACCTCTGGATTTAATAATTTGTAAGTTACATGCCACTTTTGGTTTAATTGACCCCTACTCAGCTAAGATGATGAAATTATTTAACCCAATAGTCCATCATACCCAATTTTTTTTTAGAGAGCTAAAATTTCTGTCAGCCAGTAAGGTAGATTAGTCAAAAATGCTAGAAGTTTAAGGAAACTTTAGGCAGTTAATCTGTTATTATTAATAAATATATGACAAAATCCCTCTGGCCTGAAATGGGCTAGTTAACAAGTTCTCAAAAGGGTAGGCAAACTTCAATTTTCAGGTGATTCTTCTAAATCCAGAGGGTGGCCTCTAACTTTATATAGCCTATAGTGTGTATTTATGCATGCATGCATGCACACATATATATATATATATATATAAAACTGACACAAAAATGTGATCCATTTTCTACTCGTTATGGATTGCATTTATGGAAATATTAACAGACTCTTAACTCTTTCCAGGCTGAATTTCTAATTTTTACCAGTTTTAAGGTAACTCAAATTTAAATTAAATTTGTTGACTATCTATACAAGTTAGCCCCTTCCATACCATAGATATTCTTGTGGGATTACGCTCAGGTGATATGGAAGGGGTATTTTTACCCCACAAATATTCAGTTTTAGTCATTTACATGGAAAACAAATGCAATAAAATAGCCCTATTGTTTTAGTCTGAGCAGCCAGTTTGGATTGAGTTAAATTTATAGTCTTGAAAAATGGACAAATATTAAGAAAAAATATTTGATCCTAAAAAGTGCCTTCAGAATTTTGTTTACTTTACTAAAAAGGATTAGTTTATATTGTAGCAAAAATTGCTGTTTTTACAGTTCCATTAGAAATGGCAGACAACTTCTTTTTTTTTCTCACTCTTATCTGTTTTTCATCCTCTCTTTTTTTATTATCTTCTCTCTTTTTTTTTTTTTACTCTTTTTGTTCTTTTCCCTTTTTCTCTTTTTCTTCTTTCTTTGCCATTTTTTTTTAACCTCATAAATTCTGTTTTTATTTTTATTACTGATGAAGTAACCTGTAAGGTTTGTTTTTTTTATACCCACCCTCTTCAACATGCACACATACACACCAGTCAACCTTTGACCCCTTAGCTTGTGATGGGGAGAGTGGGGACTAATCTTGCAAGAAAGAAACCTTAAATGAAATGCAGGCTGGATAAATATGAATGAGTGCAAACTTTCTGGTTTTGTGTCAATAAAAGCGACTGACTGCAAAGAGTTCTGCAATTCTTAATTTTCACTATATTTTCTGACTGTCCAAAAAAGATGGTTGGAATATCTGATTTGATAAACCTTTAAACTGTATAAAGAATTGTGCCACTCTCACAGAATGGAATGTTTAAAGAATTAGTATAGATTTATAAGAAGACTACATTGGCTATAAATTGACATGTCAGAAAATCTGGTTTGATTTCTGATATTGTTGGAAAGGATTGGGAGGATTTGTTGTATTATCTTTCCAAAATACTTTTTTCTTATTTGTTTAGAAAAATGTCATATCACAGTACTTAAACATGAAATTTCCTTCGCTCCCCCCCCCAAACAAAGGATTAACATCATTTTAAAATAATTGTTCCCAAACTTTTCTCTAAATGATGCTTTTATTAATTCTTACATTTCATTTTCTTCCCTTCATTACAGAAAAAAAAATAAATTCGGGCATATCATTAACAGAGCTAGAAAAAACATCTAATACAGTTTAAGGTCTATTAATTGATTAATTTTGTTAAGGTAAAGTTTATTGATTTGATTGTGTAATGAAACTTTTTAGTGCTTATTTTAATTATTGCAATAATTAGAAATGATTTAAAAAAAAAAAAAAAAAAAAAAAAAAAGGAGCAAATGAAGGAAAGATGTGATTGGGGAAATTTAATACAATTCGTTTTGAATTTAAAAATATTTTCCATAATTGTATCCTTGCGTCAAAATAAAGTTATACTAAATAAATAACTATTTAGAAAAAGAAAGCCTTTATAAAAAAATGGCTTAAAGTTTCTGATATAATGGAATATACATACACCTGTGTTCCCCCTCACTGGAATATGATTAGCTAGTGTCCGTCATAAATATTGACAGACGTGTAGGAGAGTCAGAGCCTTAGTCAGAGAGCTAAGTCTATAACGACGCCCATTGGACTACACCATTGATCTACACTTCTTACCTGTGACTACGATGCATACCAGTCGATTACTGCTACTGTATTCTACTTGGTTATAGTAGCCAAAACCACTTAGCTACTTCGTTCAAATATGTCCCTTTCCGGGACATATCAGTTTCTTACATTTGTGATACTATAATCAAAGATGCAACTTTTCAAATTTTAATAAGTTTAATTTTAATTAAAAACAATTAATTTTCTTTAAAGAAAGAAAAAAATCAGAATTGATATATTTCTTCCTTCGGCAAATGCTTAAATTTTATGACTTTAAAATATTTCCTTATTTTCCCTCCACACCCCATTTTAACTTCTTAATAGCTATTACTAAACTTTTTTTTTTTTTTTCTTTTTTAATAATGGAACATTGTTATTTTAAAAGATTAAAACAATGTTTGCCGAATTATATGAACTAGTCCCTACCTTTGTTGTTTTGATCAGTTTTTAGCAAGTGGGATCTCCATCCTTTTACCAATTGTTGTTTTCTGCAAAATCCTCAATTTTCATTTTCTGCTGACCTAACAAAAAAATAAAATAAATTTTATCTATATCGCCATCAGAAGGGATTTGAAGATAACTGCATGAGGAAGATTGTAAAACTCACTAGTCTAAAAATATTGAAGGTGCATATTGATCAATAACGAAATCCATAAACAGTTTCTTCTCTCATACTTTTTGTTTGCAGAATTTTCTTCTAGCTTATTGTTTTCCAATCAACTTTGATCTCCAAAGCTTTAAATGCAATGTTAATCGTTATCTTCTGCCTTAATTCTTGTTCTTTTATTGTTCACACTCCTTAATAATTTAATAATACTTTCTTTTTTTCATATTCTTTCATATTCAGTCCCTTCTTGCATCTTAGTGGCCTTATTGCTTTGCTGGGGATGAAATGATAAAAAAAAAGTCTTAAATTTTAACTGTTTAATTCAGTTTGCACTATTGCTCTTAAAAAAAAACATGAATTCTCTTAAAGTTAGGATGCTTGTCTCTGTAGTTGCATAATTAAATGAAAAAACTTGTAGTTCCAACGAATGATTTATTTTATGGAAATATTTTGACTATTTTACTGTTTTACTCAAATTAAGGAGACTGGCAACTGCTAGTCAAAATATTTCCATAAAATAAATCATTCGTTGGAACTACAAGTTTTTTTCTTTTAATTAATGAATTCCCTGTCTTATCATTAGTTATAACAAAATACCTTTTTATTAGTATGCCATGATAAGGTGGGTAAACAACACTAAATGTGGATTATCAGTTTTTCTTTGAGATAGTAGTGTGCAGAAGGGGGAGCAGATGAGGCAATGGCCTCAGGTATCTATATCGGGAGGGCATTCAGTCAAAGAGTGAAATAAAAAAATTAGTTTATATTTAATTTGAATAAAGTATTTATTTCATGTTTCATCTGTTTTTACATATTTAAAATGTCTTTCTCACATTTCTCAGTACTAGGCCCTATAGGACCCTCCCCACCACTTGAGTCTTGGGGGGGGTGCATACAATCAAGGAGTTGACCCCCATTGCATCACCAAATATAATCTAAATATAGCTTGAAGCAGAGATATGTTTAATTGATTGATTTTTTTTTTTCTTTTTTAAATTCTGTTTAGGCTACTGATAATCATTTTGCAGTAAATCCCTTAGTAAAAGGCATGAATCCACTTTTACCTGTGCTCTGTCTCAACACTAGATATTTTGACAAAATATCTCATAATCAGCATGTCAGAATTGTTGGTGAATAGTTTGAGTGTGTAAGGATTTGGGCAAAATCTCCTTCCCAAAACTGCATCAGCCGCCCAGGCAGGAACTAATCAGAAGTGATTTTTTTTTTTGTTTGTTAAAGAATAAATGTTCTGATGGGAATAATGCAAATAAAATAAAATATATTTCTACATAAATAATTTTTCAGTCATAAACAAGAAGATCAATTTGATGATGAAGCTTTCTCTATTTGATAACATAAAAATCATATTAGACTATAGAAAACAATCACAGATATCTGTGAAAGATAACAGTTAAACCCTAGACTTGAAGTGGTCAATATTGTTGTGGCTGTGAAGCATTCTCCTGGGATTCTGTTCCACAAAGCATCAATTCTTGGGATGTAATGGGTCTTTGCTGGGAGGGTTACAGTTGGGGTGGGAAAACTAAGGGATATAGTTCATTTTCCCATTTTTCATGGGAATAACAGTAGAGTAGCAAGAGACTTGCAAAGTTTCATCTGTAAGAAAGGGGTTTTAATGTGCTAAACAATTCATCACCCACAAGGCCACATAGGTGTTTTTGAGCTATAAAAACTGAAAAGTGTAGAATGAGCAGCATCAGCTTCAGTATGGCAGCAGTAATCTATTTTCTGACTGATCTGGCTC